TGATCCAAACGCCGTGTGTCACCAACTCTGCTTCTGCCACTGGCGGCTTTTCTTCTTGGCTACTGGGGGGACTAGATCCTCTAGAGAAGATGACTTCAAGAAACTTTGCTTTCTTTTTTGACTTTAATTCTATAACTTGAGATCTTTCAGGGCTCATAGCCGTGTAAGTCAGGTCTGGGTTTCGTCTGTGCAGATGTGAGAAGTGATGGATAGGTTAGGGAGCATAACACTGTTTAGATGTCCAAGCAAGTGGCCCCTGCGGGGTGTAATGAGCTCAGCTTCTTTAGTCCTAGGTACTCGAGGGACAGGTTTCTGGAGACTCCCCTGTGTCCAGGATGGCAAGAGCACTGGGCCAGTGTTTCCACATCTGTCCATTAATAGAAAGGTGATAATGGATTTTATTTCACTCATATGCAGATTTGTAATAAAATGCCAAATGGTTAGAAGATATCCAAACAAACCACCATTTGTTCTTGTTGCTTCTCTGAATCTAGAAATATTGCCATTCTTGGAAACTGTCCCATTGCTTCATATTTCTGCCAATGTAGCTCTGCCTGCCTGTCACCCACTCACTGCTCTCTGCTCACTGTGGGAAGGTACCCCTTATGCCAGCAGCCCCTCTCAGGGACTCTCAGCTCTGGTACTGGCACCCTATGGTCTGCCCCGACAGCAGAGGCCTGGCTCTCTAGTGGGTGTACTTCCCTTTGGCCTGGGTGGCTTGTTCCTTCTAGCCATGCCCTGAGGCAGGCTTTGAGCAAGCTGGTGGCCAGCCCTGGCTGCTCCAAAACCAAAAGCTGGATCCTCTGGAGTAGAGGAGAGCTGTAGAGTAGCCACCTATCACTGACCCGTGCTGGCTCAGGATTTCACATCTGCCTAGTTCCTTGAAGTGCCCTGGGTCTTCCTCCTGTCCCTCTCCGCAACGGTGGAGAATAGGCTTTCTAAGATGCTGCGATCCCATTCTGCTGCCCTTAATAAAAATGCTCTCCAACACTGGTTTGTGTGGGTTTCTTCCTTCCTTTGGAGGTGGGTAGTGCCAGGAGCCTGTGCTCTTGGAGAGTGGGAAAGGGTGGCTGGGGCCTTCGAGCTCTCTCCCTTTTCCCATCCTCTTCATAAGAGGCACACAGTGGTGTTCTTATGTCCCCGGAGGGAAGCAAATGGGGTATAATCAACAATGGACAAGCAGAAGAATCTAGAGTGTATCAAGGCCTGCAGAGGGATCCTGTGGATGTCTAGTAAGGGAACAGCAACTTCCACACATGAATATGTCATTTCAGTCCTCCTGTGACACCCCCCCGAAGAGAGTGGTGATGCTATGATCCATGTATAGCAGAGGTGAAAATAGGCTCTGAGAAGGGTGGCTTGATCAGTGTCCTAATGAAGCTGGGGCTAGGCCATTTCCCTAAGTGGTTTCCAGCTAGAAACTGACCCAGCATTCCCCAAAACGTTGGGTGCCAAGGTACTACAGTAAAAGTGCCAGTTTGGTGTAGCACCTAGCCAGGCTAGTGACACATTTTTGTTCAGGCCTAGTTCCCTTTCTGGAACTGGATGCTAGATAAGACCAGGACTACCTGTCAGTCTCAGAGAGCAAAGCTTCCTGTGGTTTTAGTAATAGGGACAATAAGGGTCTTTGCCTTTAGTTGCAGGTGGGCTGCTCTGCCACATCCTTTATCCTCTGAATCTCAAGGCAGCACTGTGAACACCATTATCCTTATGCCTGTTTTTATAGAGGAGGAAACATGTTCTGGGTGATGACAAGGGCATCTGGCTATTTTTGCATTTACTCCTGAGCTGCTTGCATCCCACCAATCAGCACATTTCCTCTCAAAGGGTCCAGTCATGGCTATAGACTCTTCCTCTCCTCCAAAAGTCATAGGCATAGTGGACCCTATAGACTGGCTTCTCTGACCAAGGGACCGAGTCTTTCTCATCACCAAACAGGCAGCAGCTTTTTTTTTTTTTCTTTTCAATTTTTTTTAAGTTATTGAGGACCTTTATTTTTGTTTATTTATATGCAGTGCTGAGAATCAAACCCAGTGCCTCACACATGCTAGGCAAGCGCTCTACCACTGAGCTATACCCCCCAGCCCCAAACAGGCAGCTTCTAAGCCCTGCTCCAACTTCCATTTGGCAGTTCCTCTGTGCCCTTCACTTGCCATCCAAAAGCCAGATCTAGTCTTGATTCTTCCTGCCCTGTTTTTTTTTTCCCCCTTTTCCCTGCTTCCTCAAGTTCAGTGTGGCAAGTGGCATCATTCCAAGACAGCAAAGCTGGGGGTGGGACTTTTTAAGTGCAGCATGGTACCTAGCCCAGGCCATGCCTGGTTAAATGTCTATTTTCTGGGTGACTGGGACATGTTCTTATTCAGAGACAGGGCTCTTGGGGAACCGGGCAGGCTTCAAGACCAGAGTAGAAATGACTTGCCCAACACTGTGCAGAGGCTCAGGGAAGGAAGTCACCTCTTCTGGAGCACCTTTGTGGCTATTGGGCCCTCACTGCAGCCCCTAGCTGGAGGCACACTAGGGTAACCAGGACAGTACCTCCCGGCAAAACCCACCTTTGTTCTCATACATTTTTGTGGGCTTCTTTAACCCTACCTCCCAGTGTGGCCCAGATCACATTGATTGTTGCCTTGAAGGCTGGACTGTGTCCCAGTATCCAGCCCTGGCCTGGCACAGAGCAGACCCTCCATATATGAACACTGAGTGGATATGTAACAGTAAATCACTGTCTTAAGTCATTCTGCACAGCAGTTTGGCATACGAAAAACTCTAGTCCTACCCAGCCATGCCAGTAGGCCACCAGTAACCACTCCAACAGGTCCTTATTACTTTCCCTTCCCTTGTGAGGTGGCCCTTGTTTGCCTGATTCTCCTACCAGTCTGGCCATACCCTACCTTTATCTTAAATTCCTAAGGTCCCTGGGGTTGTTCTAAACATCCATCTTTGCTCATCTTCCTTCCCTGGGTGACAATAGCCATTTCTACAGTTTTATCTAACATTTGTGCAGAACCCTAAGCCCTCCTGCCTACTCTGCACCTATCTTTCAAGCAACATAACCAGTTACTTATTCCTCTGAACACCCCATAGTAGAACAAGGCCACTCCAAGGCCTCAGCCAGCAGACTTCATGAGTGTGACCAGATCACCCAGGGCCAAAGCAAGGAGGTAAATGCTAGACAGCACATGGGACTAAACTCACAGTGATTCCTGTTCACAAGCATGAGGGAAAGGAAGTAGAAAAGCGGGCTGGGGATGTGGCTCAAGCGGTAGCGCGCTCGCCTGGCATGCGTGCGGCCCGGGTTTGATCCTCAGCGCCACATACCAACAAAGATGTTGTGTCCGCCGAAAACTAAAAATAAATAAATATTTTTAAAAAAAAAAAAGGAAGTAGAAAAGTGCTGTAGGTGTCAGAGTCAAGGACAACTGGAGGGTTAGAATGGAAGACCAGCATAAAGCCAGAAAAAGATGTGGAGGGAGGTGAGCTAAAGTCATGGTCAAGGGGATGGAGACATGGATAAGTGCATGCAGGAAGAAGGACTAGGATACCTTGACCCTTTCAGAAAGCTGGGTACAGTGGCACATGCCTGTAATCCCAGCAACTTAGCAAGATCTGGTCTCAAAAAAATTAAAAAGACCCTTGATATGGCTCAGTGGTAAAGCACCCCTGGTTTCAATCCCCAGTAGCAAAACAAAAACAAACCACTTGTCCCTTTAGATTGTCTGTGTTCAGATTAAGAACTCTCTTGACACCTGATCTCATGGATTGGTAACAGGCCAGGGTCCAGTGCACTTCGAATAAATAAATCAGTATGTCCAAAGCCCTGCCCTATCACTCCAACCTCTAGGTCTGTAAAATGGAGACACATGAAATTAAATGAGACAAAAAGGACCATGTAGTGTTCCACCTGTCTTACTATCTTTTGGAGTTGGGCAGAAGGACTCTTTTCTCTCAAGTTCCCCACTGTCTTCCCTACCTACTCTGCATGTCTCAGGGACCCTGAACCAATTAATATGGTGACCCTGTCACCAGGCCCAGTTAGGAATCCCAGGTTCCCATTTCCACAGAAGACTGCCCTTCCTGGAAAAATTTAAACATACTCCTTTAAGCTTGCCTTAAAGGGGGGCCTCTCCTCATACCTGTCCCATAGAATGACTTATTTAGAACAGATGACCTCTTTTTAAGTAAAAATTGAAGTTACCATGCCTCCCAAAAAGCAGTTTGATGAGACAATCCTATTCCCATTCCTTATAAAAAGAATAAAGGAAAAACAAGCCAGGTGAGGTGGCACATGACCTGTAATACCAACTACTTGGTAGGTTGAGGCAGGAGAATCCCAAATTCAAGACCAGCCTCAGCAACTTAGTGAAATCTTGTCTCAAACTAAAAAATGAAAAGGACTGGGGACGCAGCTCAGTGGTAGAGTACCAATGAGTTCAGTTCCCAGTACCAAAACAACAATAACAAAAACCACTTCAGTATTACTGGGTGCGGTGGTATGTGCCTGTAGTTCTGTAACTACTTGGAAGACTAAGGATGGAGGATTGCTTGAGCCCAGAAGTTTGAGGCCAGACTGGATGACACAGCAAGAATCTAACCAGTGAGGCACAGTCACACATGCCTGTAATCCCAGTGACTGGGAGGCTAAGGCAGGAGGATGGCAAGTTGGAGGCCAGTCTTAGGAACTTATCAAGGGCTTAAGCAACTTAGTGAGACCCTGTCTCAAAACTCCAAAACAAATAAAAAGGGCTAGGGATATAACTCAGTGGTAAAAGCACCCCCAGTACCAAAAAACAAAAACAAAAAAACACAAAAACAAAAACCCACCATACACATTCCTAAACATAAACAAAACCAGAACACAGAATATTTGCCTAGAATATTGACTTGGTCTGGGCCACAAAGCAGTTGCTGTGTACATTCTTGTTTCATGGTTTCCCAAGCACTGTTTACAAACCACCCAAGTCTGAAAGACACATTTTATTTACAGCCAATCCCTGCCCACTGCCCCTGCCCAGTCAGGGGTTTACATTACAATGTGAATTGTCACCAAATGCTCTGCAGGCCCAGATGTCATTGTCTGGGCCTGCATGCAGCCAAGAGTGGATTCCTTAATACCTGGCTGTCACTCTGAACCATGAGGACCTGGGCACAAAGCAGGCAGTGTCTCACTGTGGGAAGTGGGTTCCTGCCCAGGCCATGGTTCCAGGCTGTGCCCAGAGGTTATTCTGGCCCCTTTCCTCCACACCTATAAGGGGCATTAGCGATCGGCTCACTGTCGGAGTTATGGTGGGGCAGGGCTCCAAGAAGGGTTCCAGAGTGGCCTTGCAGAGGACTCCCGGGGCCTCTTGGAGTCCAGGTCGTCAAGGGCGCAGAGCTGCACGCCATCTTGGGCAAGCTGGGCCCGCAGAGTGGGCGCTGTGAGGACCCGCAGCTCATGCAGCCTCTCCCAAGAGCAGGAGAAAGCATCAGGGCCCTCACCACAGCCCCCGGCTGGAGGCACACTGGGGTAACCAGGGTGTGCCATCAGCTCGGCTGTCAGGGCATGGCCTGCAGGGATACCTTCCAAGGCTCTCGCCAGCGCCCCCAGTACGCGGTGAGCAGACATGTGTCGGCCGCAAGTGCTCAGGCCCACGAAAGCATCCGTCCACCTGTAGGTGCTGGGGCATCAATGGCAGAGCAGGAAGATCCTGAAGGCTAGTTAGGGGTCAGGGCGGGAAGGAACTAGAGTGGGGCAGCCAGTGGATGCCTGACCTTTTTCCAGGTTGAAAAAGGGACACTCTGGACAAGTGAACCAACCCGTGGGACTCTGGGGATGGGGTCGGGATTGGGAGTCCAGTGCTCACCATAGGCCATGACGGGAGAAAGGACCCATAGCCGCCCTGGCATCGCGCTCCACTGTGCAGGCGAAGGCACGGGCTGGGTCTTCCAGCCACGCGCAGCCGCTCACACCACGTTCTAGCGGCAGTCGTGTGAAGCGCACCCCATAAGCCTGCAGCGACTCGGCAAACACCTGACACACACCTGCTGACGAAGCCGCCTCAGAGAGGAGCACATCTCCTCACCTGGGAGCAAAGCCCCCCGACCTGGGAGCTTGAACCCACGAACCTGGGAGTACGTGCACATGCTGATGTCCGTCCACATGCGTAGGGTCCCTGCCCAGCAATTCCCGGAAGCGGCTTAATTGGGCCTCCAGCTCCTCCCGCACCTGGAAGGAGACGCATAGACATTTGAGCTTCAGGGAGCAGCTACAGAAGATTCCCTCCTTGTACAACTGTAAGACTGAATAAGAGAAGGATCTTGCCGCTCCTGTCCCTAACGACTTCACGGTAACCTCCGGGCCGAGCTTTGGGGTCAACGCGTGCATCCTCCTTCAGCCGCACCTCCGCACCTGAGGCAAAGCCACGTCTCCAGCAGCTACCGCCTCCCGGAATCCCATCTTGCCCAGAAAGAAGCCTTCGCGGCTCAGCAGCGACGAGGCGCCTAGGCGGGCTGGGCCTACAGGTCGACCTTCGGACAGGTTGGCGTGGAGGCCGGTAGGGATGCTGTGCCTGTGGGCGGAACAGGATCTGGAGCCCAGACGCCGGGGGGGGGGGGGGGGGGGGGGGGGGGGGGGGGCAAATGCATCCCCCAGACCCGCTGGATCCCGTAAGGGGCCGCCCTCACCTGCGGGCCAGCTCCGCCGCGCTCTCCGCGGCCGCGCCGTTAACCAGCAGGGACACACTGGTCACAGTCCCTGCCAGGAAGGCCTCCACGATGCCCTCATCGCGCCGCGGACAGTAACCGAAGTCATCTGCGGTGACCACCAGCCGCACGCGCGGACCAGCCATGGCAGCTTCAAACCTTTGATGGAGACTTGAGGGGTGTGGTCTAGACAGCCCAGGCCCCGCCCAAGAACGCTGCCCAAAACCCCGCCCTGACGCACACGCCTAGATGCGGCTATCCTTCGCCTTTGTTGTCACCACCTAGTGGTTCCTAATTGGCTCTGTAACCACTCCGCCGACTTTGCTCTGTTGGAACTAGTTCAAGACTGCATTTATAATTACAACAGGACGAACTTTCCTTGACTAATAAAGTGAACGGCAGAGCGGGGCGCCGTGACGCACGCCTGTAATCCCAGTACCTGGGGGGGCTGAGGCAGGAGGACCGCAAGTTTAAAGCCAGTCTCAGCAATTTAGTGAGGCCCTAAGCAACTTAGCAAGACTGTCTCAAAATAAAAAGGGCTGGGGAAGTGTCTCAGTGGTTAAGCTCCTCTGGGTTCAATCCGCAGAACCAAAGAAGAAGAAGAAGGAAAAAAAAAAGGTGAATGTTGAGAAATGGGTTTTTATTTTTTTTWATTTTTTTGTGGTTTTTTTTCTTTGTTTAAAATAGCAACATAAAAGAAAAAGAAAGGAAAGGAAAAGGAGAAAAACAAAAAAAGAAAAAGAAAAACTCCTTTACTCTTTCCAGAGATCACCATTGCTAACTTTCTGGGTAGTGTACTTCCAGTATTCTCTAAGAAGATAAACACACCTAATTTCACTTCACCATCCAAAGATGATCACATCAATGCTATTGCATTCTTGTAATTTTTTTTTGTATACCAGTGCCTATGAACATTTTTCATGTTATTAACTATTTTGATTTTTTAAAATTGCCTATTGTCCTTTACTTATTTTTCTAAGAAGAGACATTTCCTTAGTAAAGCTCTAAACAAGAAAATGAACATGTATGTCATGATAATGGCTTCATTTGAGAAAGCATTAGCCTCTGTGTCTCTCTGGAGCTCTGTCCAAAGTAACAAGTTTTACATTTATAACTTAATTTTTTTGCTCTTTGGGTCCAGAAAGCCTTTCCTTACCTATGATTATGTCACTAGTTACCATGATGACAAACAGTTTTCATTGTAATGTGACTCTCTTGATTTATTTTTCACTATGGAAATCATGGTATTTGTGTCCAGTCTTTGAGATTGGTAATGTCATTTGTGTTTTACAGATAAGGAAACTGAGTGTCAGAGAGGGGAGGAGTAGTGAATCTGGGATTAGTCCCTGTAACTCTGGGCCTACACCTAGGCCTCCTCTGATCCTCTTAGTCCTCTTATGGGAAGAGAAGGTAGAGTAGAACTTGAGAATAACAAATAATACCTCATGAAGCCTTGTAGGTAATGGAGGACTCAAAAAGCCCTTCAACCAAGCTCTTGACATACAGACTGTTGTGTTCAATCATACTAATTATTGAATTAGCAGACCTCAACTAACTACCGTTCTCCACTGAGAAGCTGATCCTGGAAAGGGCAGAAGTCCTGAGGTTGTAAAGTGGAAGATAGCATTTATTAAGCACCTCCTGGGTGCCAGGCACTGGACAGAGCTGACTCAGTCCTTGCCCCAAAGGAGCACCATTTGGTAGACAAGTAACAACATGCTGTGGTAGACTCTGGCATGGGGTTTGTGGTGAATCTGTTGGACAGAAGGGGAAAGGAAAGGGAATGTGGTAATGTTATATAGGGCCTCTCTTAGGGTGTCAAGTGTGTTGTATGAAGATTTTATGTAATCCTGTACTCCCTATGTGGAAGGATGTTAGTCCTATTTTCACACAAGGAGTCTATGCTCAGGTTGAATCACACCCTCAAGAAACAGCACAGCCAGGAATTGAAGCTGGCTAGGCCTGTAACTGAGAGCTGGGACTTTTTCCTCTCTTCTCAGGAAGACTGCAGAAAAGGGCTCAGACAGACTCTGTGGTCTATTACCTTGGGCAAGGGGAGCAGGCCCCTGGAAAGAATAAATAAGAACAGGAAGCCGAGGGTTTTGCAACTACCAGGGAGAAACTGAGGAAGGTGTGTTTGTATTGAGGTTGGAGGCCATGGCTTTTGCCCTTAGACTCATTTGGGGGCAGTTTAGGGTCATAGATCCGATTCCCCAGATTCAGAGCCCCTGGCCAGAGAGCGAAATCCACAGCCACCGGAGTCGCCGGTGACTGTGAAGGCATCAGAGCCAGGGGCAGTGGGAGTGGGAGAGGAGTCAGCGTGGCCCCGCCCCCAACTATTGTGTCGTAGGAAGCAAGTGGGCAAAAGGACCCTTGTTAACCAATCAGGGGGCGGTATTTAAATAATCGAGCAGGGAGCCCCCCCCCCAACACAATCCAGCTCTCTGTGAGGTGGTCAATTAGCGCGCACAGACCACACAAGCTAGCCRAGCAAGGTAGGACTCTGGTGAGCGGGTCGATCATAAGCCAGGATAGGACGCCAGGAGGCCCCGGTTTAGGAGGAGAGAGGGTCAGACACATCCCGACCCAGAGACCACTGAGACAGGATACGGACGTCCCCAGAGATCCCCACCCTTACGACTCCAATTGGGGGCAGTCCGCGGACGCCTAGGGGGCTCCGAGCAGAGGAAGAGTTATAAAGGACACGGAGTGTGGGGAGCGAGGTACCAGCTGACCCCGGGGCCACTGACATAGTCAGGGACTGACGGAAAGAAACTTGGACTCGTGGAAACCTGGGCGCACCATCGAGACCCTTACGCCATTTTCCCGCGTCCTGCAGAGTGGAATCTGTTGTGGAACTGAAGAGAGAAGGCGGACAGTGGGCTTGGCTGCTTGCATTATGGCCAGCTGTCGCCACCACTCAGGATACCTGGCTGATGATGAGGCTGGCCACAGCACGTACATAGCACGGGTAAGTGTGCCTAGCAGGAACCGAGCCTGATGCCACGGACTACTAATACTCGTTCTTGTTTCCTATTGATCTCCTCTCTGGTCCTCTTAGTGAAGTCCTTATTATAGGCTTGACCTGTCTACGACCCCTTGCTGGGCTCTGATCTCCTTTGATTTCATTCCCAATGTCCCCTGACTCCAGTGTCACAAGAAGGACCTGGATCAACTAGGAACTCTGAGTATGAGCATGGTGTCATCTCAGAGTCCAGGACTCAAGTTAGAGAAGCAGCCATATGTAAAACAGGGCTCAGGATCTCCTGTGTTCTCTGCATCACAGCAGTGGAGACAGGGATGGCTTGCTCCTTGCAGAGATTCAGAACCACAGAGACTCAGAGGGGTTTTATCATTTGCTCAATCCCACCACAAATAAGGGTAGAAGTGGGCTTTCAGACTAGGTCTTGTGTATGTGAAATGTAGGTTTGGGGAACATTTCAGGGAAATCATAAATATATCCTTATTTGTGAAGTGGGGGTTGAACCTCAAAAGGGGCTATTGTGGACACTGTCACACAGCCTGAAGATGGCAAAGTCAGGGTCCAAACCCCGGATTAGCATACTCTAAAATGCAATTCCTGGGCTTTGAATTAGCTCGGTGGTGGAGCTCTTGCCTAGCACACTCAAGACCCTGGGTTCAATCATCAGCACCACCAAAACCAAAAAAACAAAACTGGAATTTCTTCCACTGTTCAATCTCCATCTAGCTCCTAGCAGCCCCCTAGGACAGGGACCTCCCTCCCCTGCAGGGCATCCTGCAAACTATGAAAAGCCTGTCTGCTTAGGTGCAGCCACCCAAGAAGCCACTGTTGCCAGAAATGGGGTCAGCCTCCAAGCTGGGTCGTATGCCCCACCCACCATCAATGGATGGCAACTCAGCTTACCGGGGCCACCGCCAAACTGCTAAGGGCCCTCAGGCTTTTGGTAGCTTCTTGGATTTCCTGACTGAGGGCCAGGTGTTAGACAGCCTACAGACAGTGGTGGAGGAGGCAACAGAGCGCATGGCTGCTATGAAGACAGAGGCTGGGGTGCCACTGGTAGAGGTCCAGGACCCAATTGAGGTGCCAAGTGGTAGGCGGCCACGTGTTCGACCCAGCTTCAGCACTGTGCACCGACACCGTGCTCAGCCCAGCCTCTGTACTGGACGCCCCAACAATTACCCATCTTGCTCCAGCTCCATGTCTGACTCCCATAGCAGCCTCACAGCTGGCTGTCTGGGCTCCCACAGCTGGAACAGTGACTTGGGTGCACAAGGCTTAGGCTCAGTGCCACCCATGAGGGACAAACTTCTACTGGAGAAAAACCTCAAGCGACTACTGCGGTTGGAGAAGAAAGGGGTGAGATCTGGGTCCATGACTGGGGCTAGTTGGGGGGTGGGGATGGACAGGCCAGGGCCAAGCGTGCTTGGCTGCTTCTGGACACCTCTCAGAATCCCCTTCCCCCCTCTCTCTCTGCAGAAAGGCCCGAGTCAGCCCAGTTCCAAGAGGGACTCCCTGCTATGGGACTCACTGGGCAGCCAGGCCAGCAGCCAGCGGACCCGGGAGCAGCCATTGTCTTGGTTCTCAGGGCTGCTGGGCTCCAGACCAGGCACTCCTGAAGCATCAGAGATGGGACCTGGAGAACGAGAGCTGTTTTTCCTCAAACGAGAATTCAACAAGGAGATGAAATCTTTGCTGAGCCAGCCAGCATCCTTTGACTTGCCTGGCTACTGTTCAGTCCGTCAGCCCCATTGCACCCTGGACTTCCTGGCTAAGCACCACCTCTTTCCTGCTCTGCAGACTGTGGTCAGCCAGGCTGTGGACAAGCTCAGTTGTGCCCGCCGCCCAGATGGCTGCCCTCTTTTTCCTGTCAACTGCGATCCCAACCCAGCATTGTCATTTAACTTGCTACCACAAGACTCCAGGATGGTCACACCCACTAGGAGAAGGGAGCACTATGATTCTTTCCTCAGTAGAGCCTCCAGCTCCAAGATAACTCCCAGAAAAAACAAGGGCAAACGGGGCTCCCCCCCTGTGTCTAATGCTCAGGTGGCCACCAAACTCAGGCTCAAGGTGAAACCTACAGAAGAGACCAATGTCCCTAGCCCCTCACTTCACCCCAGGCAGGGGACTCCTGACTTAGATCCCAAATTACAGAAAACACCTGTGTTCCAGAGTTCCAGCCAGAAAACCAAGCCTTGCCATGGCTTACATCTCACCCTGCCTGCACCTGGAATCACAGTGGAGTTGGCATCTAGTCAGGGTTGCCTCAGGGGACCAGTCCCACCTCCACTTGTCTCCTCCCACCCTCTTTCCTCCTACCTTTTCCCCATCCTCTCCTCTTCGGCTTCATTGAGTTCAAAGGTAATCCCCTCAAGGGTGGGGCATGGAACCTTGAGGACTAATTTGAAGGGCAGTGACCCTGTTACCCACCACTCCTAGCAGCCACTGTCACTGGCAGGTGCCCAAGATCAAGGTCTCTCTTGACCTGCATTATGGAAACCTGCTGGGCATAGTACAAGCTGCTGGAATACCAGGAATCCTGGCCTAGCTACTACTAAATATTGTCAAAGATGAATAAAGGCTATTTTTTATCCTGGATTTTTTTTTTTTAATGTTTGTATGTGAATCTTGGAGGTCCTCCCACATGGAAAGGGTCTTGTCCCTTGTGGGGACTCTGCATCCTAGAGTCTAGTTCCCTCTAAATTCAATTGCAGGACTCTCCAGCCTCTCTGATTTGCTTAGGAAAAGTTGCCCAGGGGGACTATGTGGACAACATAGGTGATTTTACCCTGGTGGGTCTCTAGCAGTCCCCCAATCATGCCTTCACCAAGGTCCAGGTGTGCTTCTCTCCGAACATGGGCTGCAGCATCAGCTTGTAGAAGCCCAGGTTTTTCAGGCTCAGGTTTGCTGGCACCGTGGCTGAGGTCCCTAGCTTTGCTGCAGGCCTAATAGGTGAGGCAGGTGAAGTGATCATGAGGGTTGGCTATTGAGTATCACAGCATAGAAAATGTGGTAGGGTTTATACCCTTAGTGTGATAAGTATGACTTCTATATTTGTGACAGGCTGGGCTGGTGGGGCTGCCAAGGAGATGTGATGGGTGTCACAAGGCAGCAGGAAAGGTAAGACCAACAAGATGTGACATGTCTCCTTTTCCCTCCTTGGCTGCCACATAGAGCCCCAGTGTCAAGTTCACGAAGAAGAAGTCGCTGCCTTCCATCTCATCCAAGTCCAGCATGTCTCACCTCTCCAACCCCTGGTACGAGGAGCTCATCAACTTCTTGGTTGAGCAGGCAGTCTCCTTGCTCATCTGCAAGTACAAGTTTGAGAACAACCTCAAAAAGCAGCTTGGCTTCATCTCCTTCCCAATCACTGAGACACTCATGGACCTTTTCCTGGGCTTCAAGAAAGTGAAGGGCTCCCATATCCGCCTGTCCTCGAAGATAGACTGGCGCTGCCTGTTGCACAAGCTGGAGGAGGACCATTTGCTACATCAGGTCTCAAGGCAGGCCTCGCGGCTGGGAGCCCACCATCCCAGTAGCATCTCCCAGGTTGGTGCTTCCCAGGTCAGTGCCTCCCACGCCAGCACCTCCCACCATCGTGTTCCCCATTTTGGCCCCTCATGGCGTAGCACAGTGCCCCTCACCCCACAATCTACCATGCATCCTGAGCCAGTAACTGACCGGACCAAGGCCCAGGCCCAGGCCCATTCCCAGGCCCGGGCCCAGGCCCAGGCCCAGACCCAGGCCCATTCCCAGGCCCAGGCCCATTCCCAGGCCCAGGCCCAGGCCCAGGCCCAGGCCCATTCCCAGGCCCAGGCCCAGACCCAGGCCCAGGCCCAGACCCATTCCCATTCCCAGACCCAGGCCCAGGCCCATTCCCAGGCCCAGGCCCAGGCCCAGGCCATAGAGCCTGGCCCTTCCCTCAACATTGAGCTGCCAATCCTCCAGCTACACAGCACTCAGGAGCCTGCTACAGAAGAGGGGAAGATACCCACAAGCCTATCAGAGCCCAAGCTGTCTGTGTCATCCACCACCAGCATGGGCTTCAGTCCTCCCGAGTCCAAGGAAATGGTGAATGTCGAGGACATTGATGGCAGTGACAAAGACAAGGATAAGGACAGTGATGAGGACAAGAATGAGGTTAAGGGCACTGATAGTGATAAGGACAAGGACAAGGATAAGGACAGTGATGAGGACAAGTATGAGGATGAGGGCAGTGATGAGGATGAGTATGGTGATGAGGATGAGGACGAGTATGAGAATGAGGGCAGTGATGAGGAAAAGGAGGAGGATGAAGGCAGTGATGAGGATGAGGATGAGGATGAGGTCGAGGATGAGGATGAGGGCAGTGATGAGGACAAGGAGGAGGGTGAGCAGTATTCTGTATATGACAGCGAGTCCCAGAGCTTCCCTGAGCCTGGATTGGAGACAACCATTAACTACTCTGTGGACATGGGCCACAGTGACCCCCCATGATGTCCCCATAAGCCACTCCAAGTGCTCCATTCCCTGCTCCTGCTCTTTTGGAGTGACTTCCCACTCAATTGGCCCCTGCCCTGAGCAGCGGTCAGGATGGGATGAGAATACCCATGAGAATTTCTGCTGATACTCTCAGGGAAGCCAATGAGAGAAACAGAAATAAATATGTTCATTTCTCATTCTGAGATTTCTGCTTCCCTTTCTTTTCTTCCTTGCATCTGCCTTTTTTTTTTTTTTTTTTTTTTTGGTACCAGGGATGAACCCCACAGGGAGCTTTACCCTGAGCCACACCCTCAGCCTGTTTTTTTTTTTTGGGGGGGGGCAAGGTTTCTATAAATTGCTTAGGGCCTCATTAAGTTGCTGAGGTTGGCTTTGAACTTGTGCTCCTCCTGCCTCAGATTCCCAAGCCACTGAGATTATAGGTATGTACCACCATGCCTAGCTGCTCCTGCCCTTTAGTAGCACCTTTAGGGTGGGCCTAGCTCAGCTGCAGCTACCCTTCATGAAAGCTAGTATCACTCTGACCCTGGGGAATCTCATGTGCTCTGCCTTATAATGCTCTCCTCTCATGTGACCAGCCTCCTTCTACTTTCTGCCTGCTTTGTTGTGTAGTTCTTCTCAACTCTAGTCTGCAATTTTCTGGTTCCTCAACCCTCTTAGGACTCCTGGTCACCCCTCAGTCACAGTCCCTGTGCATCATGACTCCTGCTTTTTGGAAACTTTCTCTGCCTGGGGAAACTCCCTCCTTGCTTTGGTATGTCACAGTCTCACATTGCAACCAAAAAACATGCAGTCTCACCCTCTCCAGCTATTCTCATGGCTACCTGTATCTCTAATTTGTGTTTCCCAACACCCAACTCCAGAAAATCTGGAGTTTCTATGCCAGGCCATGTGGTGGTAGCTGTTGGTCAATTGGGCTGTGGATTGGCTGCCCTAGGGCATGGCTTCTGCTGTGATTGACAAGTTTCTTCTCCAAGGTTATCCTGGAATTTCTAGCTATCTTGTACTTTCAGCAAAGCATTGCCTTTCCCTCTGCCTTGTAGGGCAGCTTGTTTATTGCCCTATTCATGTACCTTCATTCAGAGAACAATTCAATCTCTCCCCTCTAGACAAAAGAACATGTAAAGACTCTACACTATACTTTTCTTGTCTAGGTTGCCATTGTGGGGCACATGGTGGATCTGTTTTGCCTCTCTTTCAATGCATAGAGGTCAGGCTTGCTCAGTCATGCTTGACCATGCTCAGGGGCCCAAGAGTCCATACATGAAGATATATCAACAGAAGGGCTCCCTCTAGAGTCTGGCAGGGGAGTTCTCTTGGACATTAGCCACATATAGCCACCTTATAATTCAGAATCCTAAAATGGGTAGATCAGGGACCCATTTTTCTACAGAGCTCTTGTGGCACAGATCTTTTAGGGCACATGTTTGACTCAATTCCCAGTCCTTAAGGCCAACCACCACTACCACCACAGCAATACCACTTGACTGCGATTGATTAGTCCCATTGGCATATCACTATTCTAAGCCTGGTTGATTGCTAACAACGAATGTGGATGCTACAGAGTAGCTATTATCTACCTGTCCAAATCAAGAAACCTATCAGTAAAAAGGATCTAAAAAAGAAAGCCCTCAGGCTCCAAGAGACAGCAGCTGCTATGATTCCCACTCATCAACGGAGATTAGAACATGGCCCTACCCCAGCATCAGAGGCACATGTCTCTGGGAAGAGCTGGAGCAGTACTTTTGGAAACTATTGGAACATTGTGCTAGATATGTGTGTCCTTATCCTGTTTCAGTTATCTCTTGCTGTGTACAAAATACCCCAAGGTTTAAATAGCTTCAAACAAAAGATCATTTATCATGACATTGGGATTGACATGATAGGCTGAAGTTGCTCATGTGACTGCTTTCAACTGAGAATTAAAACATTCTAAATCTCTTCCTCCAGGGTATCTCTCCATGTAGCCTCTCACCATGCAGTCAGTAATCTAGTCTGCACTTCCTTACAGCTTGAAGATACACTGACTTCCTAGAAGGAAGAAGCAGCAACCACTGGAGTTGTTATGACTTGTGCTTAAAAGTCCCAAAATAGTACTTCTTTGGCATTCTCTTAGTCAAAGAAAGTCACAGTCCCTGCCCAGATTCAATGGGAGGGAAATGGATTCTGTCTCCTTTGCTTACAGGGATGGGAGGAATTTTTTTGTTTTGTGGTACCAGGATTGGAACTTAGGGCCTCACCCATGTTGGACAAGCACTCTAAGTTATATTCCCCAACTTTGAGATGGGAGGAATTGTTTGTGGCCATATTTAGAGACTAGCTACCACTCTTTCTCCCCTCCATGACTAGATGCATCTCAAGCATGGACACAGGTTGAGCCAATCAGACTCTCTCTTGAGAATCTGAACCTGAAGACAAACTGTGGTTGAAAGGTACTGAAGATGTTATGAATAGCCCTGGGCCATAAGATGATCCAGGGAACATTTTTCTTCATAAGGGAGGCAGAAGAAGAGCTATGAGAAGCCATGAGGCTACACAAGAGTCAAGGAAGAGTCACTCTGGCCTCCCCCACTTTGTTTCTGGGGTTTGGTTTCTAATTTCAATGATAATCAGATATTCTAAAAAAAACTATATTTATTTGGGAATTGCAGAGCATCACAAGGGAAATATGTGTGCCATAGTAAACTTTGAGCATACTCGAGGAGAACGAGGCAAAGGGAAACTTTTAAGGTGAAATGAAACCCAGAATTGGTGGTACACACCAGTAATCCCAGCACTAGGGAGACTGAGTCAGAAGGCTCACTTGAGTCCAAGAGTTCAACACCAGCCTGGGAAACATAAGAAAACATATAATAATAATAAAGTCAAAATGAGAATTATATATGCCATTTTGAAACAGTATTTGACTACAAGGAACAATAACAAGGGAGACACTGGTCCAAGATTGAACAGACAGTTGCTGGGCAGACATCTTTGCAGAAGTAGTTTTGTGTAAGGTTGTGGTGGTCCTTGTGTGAAGTTGTGGTTCTGGCAGAGTCTTTTATGATAGTTCTTATTATGAAGGCTGCATGAGATCCCCTCCTTCCTAGCCTCCTGGTTTTATTTACTTATTTTGGTTAGGGCATTACAAGTTACTTCATTTTGATTCTGACAGCTTTGACATAGCTTACTTAGAATCCTGTTTCTGCCTGTCAGAAGGATAGCCATTCTCTTGTCCTAAATGCAAGTAAAAAACCATTGGTGACTTTCAGCAGGAGACTGGCATAATCTGTTTTGTTTAGTACTGGGGATTGAACCCAGGGGTGCTTAATCACTGAACCACATTCCCCAGCCCTTTTTAATATTTTATTTAGAGAAAGGGTTTCATTAAGTTGCTTAGAGCCTTACTAAGTTGTTGAGGCTGGCCTTGAACTTGCAATCCTCCTGCTTCAGCCTCCTGAGCTGCTGGGACATAATCTATTTTCTGCTTTAACATTTTTCCTTTGTAGATAATGCTGTGGCATGGAACCAGTGTAGTGGAAGCAGCGAGATCTAATAGGAAGTGGTAGATGATACTTGTTAGAGGGGGAAATGGGCTTAGGTGGAGGTTTCAGGAGAGATGCCTTGAAATCTGTTTTGGAGTCAGGGACATCAACACTTATTTGATTAGACATAAGGAGTGAAGTAAAGAATCAAAGAAGAATTCAAAATTTCAGTCTTGAGCAATTGGTAAATGGAGATGCGAATTTGCTAAGACTCAGAAGCCTAGAGGAGGAGCAGCTTAAAGGAAGAGATCAGAATTCTGCTTTGTACATGTTAACTTTGATATGCCTGCTGACATGTCCAAAAGAACATTTTCATTGCCTCTCAGATTGTACTGTTGTCCCTCTACCCTGGATTGGAGGCCCCCTCAAGTACAGGGTTTGCCAAGTCCAGGGTAGACCTTCTTAAGCCATTTAGACATTCTAAATTCTAAAAATATCAAGGTGCCTTATTTGGTATATAATTCAAAATAAACATAATATTAAACATTGAAAATCTTAATTGTTTTCAGGGAATATAATGTGTTTGCCTAGCATGGGCAAGGTCGTCCTGAGTTCAATCCCCAGCATCAAAGAAAATAAACTGACAAACAAACACCCTAAAATCACATGCTGCTGTCTTTTTTTTTGGGGGGGGGTACTGGGGATTGAACGCAGGGTGCTTTACCACTGAGCCATATCCTCAGCCCTTTCTATTTTTTATTTTGAGATAGGGTTTCACTAAGTTGCTGAGGCTGTCTTTGAACTTGTGAAGGGGGAGGGCCCCTTCAGCCTCCCTGAGTTGCCAGGATTGAAAGTATGCATCACTTTATCCAGCTGTTACTTTCATTCAGAAGGGCTTTGCCAGCTATGCTTATAATCCCAGCGACCTGGGAGACTGTGGCAGGAGGATTCCCTACGGTCCAGCCTTGGGAATTTAGTAATTTAGCAAGACCCTGTCTAAATTAAAAAAAAGAAGACTGAGGATATAGCCCTGATAAAATGCCTCTGGGTACAATCCCCAGTATTCCACCCTCCACAAAGGACTTTATTCTGTTTTTTTTTTTCTGAATTCAAAATTCTGGATGAACTCATTAACTATTAAATATGAACTATTAACTATTAAATATGAACTTTAATTTCTGCTTTGCTAGTGCCCCAAGTGCATGGCTCAGTCAGCTTCTTGGGTAATGTAGTTCCTCTATGACCCCCAGCTTAGGGTTTGGAATCAAAATCAATGTAAGAAAGTTCCATGGATGAATAAGTAAACAGTGGCATACGTTTTCCTCCCTTGAAGACTGAACTGAAAATCCTCTG